TTTTTCATATTTACATAGTAAATAAACAACATATACTGTAGATATACAACATATAGATGAATAAATAAAATATAGAGTAATATAATTCAGTTATATTTATTTGAAAGGGGAAGATTACATGGTGTTTCGTAAAATCTGTGGTGCTAGGAAAAAGTAAGATAAAGTGCATTGATTCAGACTTTTCTAAAATATAGTATCATCCATTCCTCATATTTTAAGCTATCCAATGCTTTCATCTAAAGTTTATACATAAAAAATTGATTTGAACCTAAATCCTTCAGTCACAATTTTATTTCTCTAAAACATTGCTTTAAAACTTAAGTTTTGATTAAGTAACTCCATATGTGTGTAGCTAAGTTAGTACTTAATTCTTTATGCATAAAGAAATTTGTTATAGAATAATTTCATAAATTCTGGATATAAGTCCCTTATCTGATATGTTATTACCAAATATTTTTTTCCCAGTTGGTGGCTTCCCTTTTTATCCTGTTGGAGAAGTTTTTGAATGTGCATAGGGATTTGAGTCTTAGAAGATCCCATTCATATACTTTATCTTCTCCTGGTTGTTGGTGTTATAGAATAATTTGTATTAGTTAAAAGCTAATGACAACATTCTATATATATCTAATAAAACATAGAATGGTCAAGTTAATTATGAGACTTAGAGATAATAGAGTGCAGAGTAAACATGAAAAATAAATGTTCATAAAATGCCTCTAATGACATAACATTTAGTAAGAAAATAACTGGAAGTATCCTCTGCTTTCAGCCACATGAAAACCCTTAAAAAACCAGAAGGAACTCCCAAAATATTGAGTAACATACAGTTTCTGGGTAGTGGAATTCCTGCTAACCAAAAAAAAAAAATCTAATACATCTTGCATTTTTCAAATATTACATACTTAATACACTCAGTATTATATTCAAAGGACTTTCAGCTTACATAATACAGTTTACAGTTTATAATGTCATACTAATGGACTTTTGTTTTAATAAAAATTAAGCACACTTATATAGGTTGAGATGAATTGGGGAATATTTCAGCTTTCTGGAGGTTATACTAAACATTCATTGATTCTATATATTTAAAAAAGGAGCATAGTAGGATCTAGAAGAAAAGAGAAAGATATAACATAATAATTTATCTGCAGCATGGAATAAAATAATAGTTAAAAAAAAACCCACCTCAATCCTACCCAGTGCCAGTGGCCTTTGTCAGAGTTCTAATCAAGCATTCTCGTCTCTTGTTTCTGCAGTATCAAGTCATGGGTGGACAAGATGCAAGAAGACCTTGTCACACTGGCAAAAACAGCAAGTGGAGTCAATCAGCTTGTTGATGTGAGTAAAACCATAAAGAGTTCTTTGTTAATCTTTTCTATCATTAGAATGTCGTCTCTTAAAGAGGAAGCTGTATCTGTATATTATAAATAAGGAATTTTTTCTTGTGTGGTTCTGAATATGAGGTATTGGAGACAGATTTGTGACACTTCTAGTTGTTATAAAAATAGGAATACCTTTTCTAGAAATCAGTGTAACTTTGTTCAACACTTTACATATATGCCTCACATAGATTAATCCATGCGATGCATGAGCTCCCCCCAAAATCAAATTGAGATATTCTTGCCTTATCATTGCAGTGTGTCTGTTCTTCAGATTGTATTTTAGAACATGTCATTTATTACTGTTTTAGAATCATGTGACTTTTTTTTATATCTTTAGTGAATATACAACATCATTCCTTTTGTGTACAGTTTATTTTAAAAACCATTAAATGACTTACAGTCTTTTGTAGATTAAAAGTTTTTTGCCACTGCCTTTGAGTTTGATCCAACTCATAGCTGACCCTTAAGCAACTTTCAGAGGCTGCAAATTGGATATGAATGGGTTGTCCATTTTTCTCCCGTGAAGCTGCTGATGGATTTGAACTGCAAGAGAGGTACCACCTTGTGTTACCATCCTAACTCATTATAGACAAATCTATCAATATTCCCATATATTGAGACTAAAAGGAATCATTATAATCAATAAAATATTTTAATTGTGGTGTTAAAGGTTTATGATTCAGAATGATCCATTGACTTATTTGCCACGTGGATGGGTAGAAATATGCAGATAGGCTGTGTTAGCCAATCTGCAAGGTGGTTGGTTAATCTTGTCATAACATTGAGCAAATCCAGCAGCAGAATTAGAGACACCTCACTACCAGTGATATTAGAGCCAGTGTTAGTTAGATGCATCTTGGCTGAAAACAGAGCATAACAGAGCAATATTTAGCTGCGTTTCATTGACTATGCAAAACATTTGACTGTGGATTACAACAAACAGTGGCTGACTCTGAGAAGAATAGGGAGCCCAGAACTCTTGATTGTGCTTATGTGAAACCTATGCTTGGACCGGGAGGAATGGAGCAAGGAAATACTGCCTGGTTCAAAGTCAGGAAAGGTGTATGCCAGGGATGCATCCTATCTCCATTCCTTTTTAATCCATATGTGGAAGAGATCATCTGGGAAGCTGGGCTCTGTGAGAAGCAATGTGGCATCAAGATTGGAGGAAGACTCATCAATAATCGGTGTTACGCAGATGACACAAACCTACTTGCTGAAACTGAGGAAGACTTGAGGGGTTTGCTGGAGAAGACCAAGGACTGCAGCCTTCAATATGGATTAAACATCAAGAAAACAAACATTCTCACTACTAGTTTAAGGTAGCATCATGAGAGATGGTGAAGAGATTGAAATTGTTAACAGCTTTGGTTTGCTAAGCTTAACAATCAACATTCTTGGTACAAACTGCCAGGAAATTAAAAAATTAATTTTCTTACAAACAATAGTTTCATCTGTCTCCATTGTTGCTAACCCCTAAACTCTTTGTCAAAAGATGAATTGCCTTGGAAAAATCTGCTGTCAGGAACTTCTCCAGAGTACTGAAGAGCAATAGTGTCAGTCTAGAGACTAAGGTGCACCTGATCTAGGCCATGGTTATTGCAATTGCTTGCTATGCATGAGAGAATAAGACAATGAAGAAGAAATTGACAAAGACAAAGAAGAAGAAATTGATGCCTTTGAGTTGTGGTCCTTGATAAGAGCATTCAATAAATATCTCATGGACTGCTAGGAGAGCAAACAGGTTTGTCTTGGTAAGGATGAAATCAGACTGCTCCTTGGAGGCAAGGATATTATTATTATCATTATCATTATTATTATTTTGTTTGTGTATACCATCAAATCAAATCTGACCAGTACAGGAGGTTGTCGTTTCTCCTCCAGCAAAGCATCTGGTGGATTCGAAGTGTACACCTTTGGAATTGTAGTGCAGCATCTTGCCACTAGGTGAGGCAAGGATTTTTGAAGCTCTGTCTCACATACAAAGGGCATGTTGCAAGGACAGACCAGTCCTTGGAGAGGGACATCATGCTTGGGAGGTTGAGAAACAGTGTACAAAAGGAAGACCCTGGACTCAATGACTGGCGTAATGGGGGTCGATGTGTCAAAGACATTGAGGTTGCCTTAGGATAGAGCAGGGTTCAGAACTCTTGTGAATAGAGTCTCTGTGAGTTGCAAACAACTTGATGGCACATAACCATAACAACAACAACAATACTACCAGCAAAGAAGAAGCAAGAGAATGCAGCACATCTGTCAGGGCCAGAGATTTTTAGACCTATGGGAGCAGCAGCCAAAGCAGCCACAATAAAGAACCAGACTTAAAAAAGGTCAAGCTGATTTGGGGACTGCTACCCCCCCCATGACTCCTGTGGCTTTGGTTTAATTTTCCTCAACTTCAGCTTGAACTTGCATATGAGTAGTTGGTGGTCTGTTCCACAATCAGCCCCCGGCCTAGTTTTCACAGCTGATATTGAGGTTCTCCAGCGGTTT